CGGTTTAGTGACTGCAGCATGTTCCTTCAGGTTCATGCAGGCCAAATAATTTGTTTGAAGAATGGTAAAACTGAAAGTAACAAACAACTTAACATGGAGTTAGTTTTTTACGATCGATTATTTTCAGGCGTGACGGCAGTTAAGTGTTTTTATCTGAAACAACCCGCATTTAGACTAATGCTGCCTTCCCATAAAGATAGTAAGAGGTAAGAAAAAACTCATCTTAAAAATAACACTCCCCACTTTACCTCCAAAGAGCTCTGTCCTATGCAATACAGAAACTAATAGACCAATTTTATGTGTCTTCATTTGAATATATAATGGTATAATTCGAACAGAGTTTATTGAAAAGAATATTTTTCGTTCATAGATTAGTATCATTCTATTGGCGTTTATGAATCATTTTGTTCTGATGTTTTTGTTTTTTCTACGGATTCAAAGACTATAAGAGTATGACACTCACATTAATGAGCATTCGATAAGTACATTGTGGTTGGTTTTTACATGGAGTCAGCTTGGATGATGATATTGTTTAGCATGACAATGAAATCATTTCGGTTAAAGCGTCTAATTTATATGAATTGGTAATGCCAGAAAACTAATTAATCTATCTATTGTTTTGTTTCAATGTGTAATGTTTTTATTCAAATGGTGTTAGCATCATAGAATACCAGTCTAAAAAAACACAAAACCAATTCACTAAAGAACTAGCTATCAGTCAATGGATTACTGTAAAAATAACTCCAAGGATTGATACAAACTTTGAAAAAAACCATTGAAATTGTTTTCTATTTATAAATATGCTTTCCTCTTACTTACTTACATACGCCTGTTACCCCCAATGGAGCACAGACCAGTTTTCTCTAACCAACTTTGTCCTAGTTCTGTTCAGTTTTTGTCCACTTTTCTCATGTCTTTCTCTATTTCTCCGCGTAATCTGTTCCTTGACCTTCCTCCTTTCCTTTTACCTTGAGGGTTTCAAGTGAGGGTGTCTGATGACGCAACTGGGTGCTGTCCACAGTTTGTCCAATCCACTTCCAACGCTTCTTCCTGATTTCCTCGTCCACTGGAATCTGTTTCGTTTTATCCCACAGTGAGTTGTTTGCTGATTGTGTCTGGCCAACGAATCCGAAGTATTTTGCGTAGACAACTGTTAATAAACACTTGTATCTTCTGGATGATGGCTTTCGTAGTTCTCCATGTTTCCGCTCCATACAGTAGAACTGTCTTGACATTTGTATTGAAAATCATGATTTCGGTGTTGATTGATATTTGTTTGGAGTTCCAGATATTTCTCAACTGTAGAAATGCAGCTCTTGCTTTGCCAATCCGCGCCCTCACATCTGCATCGGATCCCCTCTTTCTCGTCGATGATGCTGCCAAGATATGTAAAGGTGTTAACGTCCTCCAAGGCATCACCATCAAGAGTGATTTGGTTGGTGCATGTTGTGTTGCATCGGAGAATTTCGCTTTCTCCTTTATGTATGTTGAGACCTACTGCTGCGGAGGCTGCTGCTACACTAGTCGTCTTCTCTTGCATTTGTTGTTGCGTGTGCGATAGAAGAGCCAGGTAATCTGCGAAGTCCAGATCGTCCAGCTGCGTCCAATCTGTCCACTGAATACCGTGCTTCCCTCCAGATGTTTACGTCTTCATAATCCAGTCGATGACCAGGAGAAAGAGAAAGGGTGAGAGTAAGCAACCTTGCCTCACACCGGTCTTCACCTCGAAAGAGTCTGTTAGCTGTCCTTCGTGTACGATTTTGCAGTTGAATCCAACATAAGAATTCTGTATGATGTTAACTATTTTCTCAGGCACACCGTAATGCCGAAGAAGCCTCCAAAGTGTTTTCCTATCCACGCTATCGAATACCTTCTCGCAGTTGATGAAGTTGATGTAGAGTGGTGAGTTCCATTCTATTGATTGCTCCATAATGATCCGTAATGTAGCGATTCGTTCAGTACACGATCGATCCTTACGAAATCCAACCTGTTGATCTCGAAGTTGGACGTCTACGAAGTCCTTCATTCTGTTTAACAATACTCTGTTGAAGACTTTGCCTGGTATTGAAAGAAGAGTGATGCCTGTGTAGTTCTCACACTTGCTGAGATCGCCTTTCTTTGGTATTTTGATCAGGTATCCTTCTTTCCAATCTGATGGTACTTGTTCCTCATCCCAAATCTTCTTGAAGAGGATGTGAAATATTTTCGCAGTTGCTTCCACATCTGCTTCCATTGCCTCTGCTGGAATGTTGTCTGGTCCTGCTGCTTTGCCGCTCTTGATTTGTCTGATGGCTGTACTGATCTCCTCAATCGTAGGTGCGCCAATATTAATTGGGAGGTCCTTGGATGCTGCTTCGATGTTGGGTGTGTTCAGTGGAGCTGATTGATTCAAGAGTCCCTAAAGTGCTCTACCCACCTATTTCGCTGTTGTTCAGTGTTGCTGATTACTTTGCCTTCCTTGCTTTTCACTGTTCGTTCTCGTTTACGATAGTTCCCGCGAGCTTCTTTGTTGTTTCGTACAATCGTCTCAAGTTTCCGTCTCTCGCAGCCTTTTCCGCCGCATATTTTCGTTCGTCAGCTCTGATGCTCTTCTTCACTTCCCTGTTTGCTTCTGTGTATGCAGCTTGTGCGGTAACTTTCTCCGCTCTTGTTCGGCTGACATTGATTGCTGCCTTCTTGTTCCTCTTTTCTTCAATTTTTGCAAGAGTACCAACGGACATCCAATCCTTGTGATGGTACTTCTTGTGACCCAGAACTTCGTGACATGTTGAGGTGATTGCCTCCTTAATCCCTTTCCAATTGTTCTCCAATGTTGCTTCCTCTCCATTGAGTATATCATGCATGGCCTGGAACCTATTGGTGAGGGCTATCCTGAATTCGTTGAGTTTCACGGTATCCCGAAGAAAGGCTGTATTAAACTTGTGTGATGTTTTCTGTCCCGTTGTCCAGTGCTTCGTTAGTTTCAGTTTCATTTTGGCGACCAGCAAGTGGCTATCTGATGCTATATCATCTCCTCTCTTGGTTCTCACATCATCCATGGTCCTTCTGAACGTTTTGTTGATACAGATATGGTCAATTTGGTTTTGAGTAGTGTGGTCCGGTGAAGTTCATGTAGCTTTGTGTATGCGTTTGTGCGGGAATATTGTGCCACCGATGACCAGTTTGTTGAAGGCACATAGGTTTGCAAATGTCTCACCGTTTTCGTTTCTTTCTCCCAGTCCATGTCGTCCCATGATGTCTTCATATCCACTGTTGTCCATTCCAACCTTGGCATTCAGGTCTCCCATAAGAATCGTCAAATCCTTTGGTGAACATCTGTCGACGATTGACTGCAGCCTTTCGTAGAATTGATCTTTAACGTCGTCATTGTAGTCATTGGTAGGCGCATAACATTGGATGACGTTCATTGTAATGTCCTATTTCTTTGTTTTGAAAGATACTTTGATGATTCTGGGTCCATGAGATTCCCATCCTATCAGTGCCTTTTGTGCATGTTTGGACAGCATCAGTGTAACTCCTTGTGTATGTGAAGCATTTCCTTCTTCATGACCAGAGTATAACAGCAGTTCCCCTGAAGCTAGTCTCAGTTGTCCTACCTGTGTCTAATGTGTTTCACTGATGCCGAGCACCTCGAGGTTGTATCTTTTCATTTCTGCAGCAACTTGAAATAGTCTTCCAATCTCCCACGATGTACGAACGTTTCATGTACCTAAAAGAATGGTTGCTCTGGTTGTCAGAAGAGGCATCGGCCCCGTGACTTCCGACGGAACTCGGCATTCATCACGAAACGTCATTGTTCTTCTTCTTCCGACTCCCAGGGCAGAGTTTAAATGATTTGAATTATTTTTTCTGGTTAGCGTTTTTTGGCAAGTTAGGGGTTGGCAACCCCATGCCTAACCCCCTACTCCTTTGTCCGGGCTTGGGACCAGCAGTAGGCCCGAAGGGTCTACAGGTGGTGTTATGCCTTCCTCATCTTACTTTGTATTCACTAGAATATACCGAAATATAGTTTTACAATATTTTTTGATGATACGATAATCAAGAGAACACTCTATATCAACAAGGTTTTAGAGCATCAGTCAGTTTTCAGCAAACTGGTTCGCTTCCATCAACACACTTCGAGACATTCTAAGTGAGCAGCGTTTTAGGCAGTGACTAATCGTATTTGAGGCTGAGACGTTTACAATATTGAAAGTATTACGCAAGTGCATGATTTTCATCAGTTTGCAATATTCTCTTTAACATTTGTTCAATCAAGGTTGATGTCCACTGTAAAAAAAAAGAAAAAACTTAAAACAAAACACTATTAAAATGTGTAATTAATCACCTACTTACTATTTATTGTCTAACAACTATGCTACTAATATCTATGTGCTGATGATATATGAGTGTGTGTGTGTGTGCGTGCATGCATGTTCACATACAATCCAATCATGTTTCTTTCTAATATTGACACACACAATCGTTCTTCCAATTCTATTGTTTTTTACTCTTCTACTTTAATAAAGTTTATTATTGTGTAACGACGCCACCGCCCTGTAACCAACCGACCAACCAACCAACCAACCACCCTCGCCCTCCATGTTTGTGTTTTAATAATTTATTGATTGGAAAAAGTGTTTTTTCTTCTTCTTTCAGAATGTTTATTATATTGCATTGTATTTCATTGTATTTCATTACATTTCATCAATAATTAGTGAGTAGTAAATTTAGAAAAAGAAGAATAATAAGAAATGTCATACGCACACACACACACACACACAGTAAACAGATAAGTTTCTCTTAATTTTGAAAAAACAAGGACTTTATGAGTGTTATTAATATTATTATTAGCAGTAGTAGTAGTAGTATTAGTAGTAGTAGTAATAGTAGTAGTAGTAGTAGTAATAGTAATAGTGATTTTTTGCAATCATCACAAGTTGATTCGCTGATTCATTTCATATCACATTTTCTTATATAAATTCACTCTTATTGAAATATGAATGACAATTTTTGTGTACGTTTGCTTTACACTAGAAAATCATACCATTCGTTGTTTTTACTTTTTTTTTTTTTAAAGTGATCAAGATCACAGCCATTTACAATAATTTGGAATTATTTATATCACGTAAACAAAACGAACACATATACACCAACAATTGATTGATTTGTGAAATTGATATTACAAAATACCACGAATTAATAATTGATCACGAAACAGTGTATCTTTCTTTTATCATTATTGATGCATTGAATAAGGAAAAATTGTCTTTTTTTCTTGTTTTTAAAAGAGGAGAGGAAATTCATTTGAATATCTCTAGTAGTTAATTAGTAATTATATATAAATTAATGATTCTACTCTTACTATACCTAACAATAAGTTGGCTTGAAACAATAACCAGCACAAAAGCAACAACATTCGTAAATACCACTGATACTACAGTTAAATTAATTGATTCTTCGAAAACAATTTATCCAAAGGATTTGAATCCAGTTGGTACATGTCAACCGCCATGTTTAAATAATGGAATATGTCGTCGATCTAGTAATACAAACGATAATGTAAATGAAAATAATTTCAAATGTATTTGTACACCAGATTTTAAAGGAATTGATTGTAGTGAAGGTAAGTATAAAATGATTATTATTGAAACGTTTGATTGTTTAAATATATTGTGCTTGCAGTTATTGGGTTCGTCACTAAGTATGCTTGAGGCTGGTACGAGTTTATCTTAGTCGATAAACGCAAACGAGACTTTTACCAGCGTCCAGGTAGGCAACCTTGAATCCCCAAATAGAGTAAGAAGGCTTTGTAAGCGTAGAAATTATATTCTACAAACACCCAGCAATCACAGTACTCATAAGCGACTAGCTTCAAGGATATATATTTGGGGAATCCTAGTGAGACAGATATCCACCACATGCAATGGGTATAGTTTGAAGATGAAGAATTTCAATGTCTTAGGTATTGATTAGCATGAAGCTTAAATACTACTTAAATGGGTTTTATCAGTAGAAACATTTTGTAAACTTTTCAGCCCTTCATTTGTGAATTTCTTATTTAAATTTGAGAATGTATACCGTTTATTTGGTTTCCATTTCGAAAACACAAGATTATCCGAAATTCTTATCATTATAAGAGCTATTTCAAAGGTCTGTGTGAAAGTTAGTGATGTTAACACATTTACCGTACTTCATTGTGAGTTATTAAGTGCGTTCTTGGGGCTACGTGAAAATTGTTTAACTCGATGTTAGTTTTTTAGTTTTGTACGGCGAACTGCCCATAGTATACAGTTAGTAGAAAGTATGAAGCATTCGGCACAGTAAAGCTCAGTGGTGAACATCACAAAACTTGGAACCTAATATAATAAGACCTTAGAGCTAACCCTTAAGCATTTTGGAATTTAATAGTTTGAATTTCTAGTTCTAGTGAATTCGGGATATCGCCATAACAATATCCGTTTCCATTGGTGATATTTGTCCTATCCTACTGCCCAAATGATTGAAATCTTGACGTCATAACTTCTGATTAGAAATTTTATGAACTGACATTGGTTTTGCAGATTTATTGAGAAACTGAGAGCCATTGGACATCGTTTTCGTTCTCGACCACGACTCACTTTCCTCTTCAAGTGAACACCAGTTGAAAGTACTGAACCCGGATAAAATAGTTGCTCATTGTTATCTAGTTTTGAATACTCTATCATCTTCAACGACTGATAGATTAAAAAAGAATCGAAACTGATCGTAATTTCAAGGTGATCATTTAACAGTAATCGGTGAGTAAGTATTTATATAAGCAAATTTAGATGTTAGGTAATCGGTGTTAGTTGGCAAGAATCTCTGCTTGCCCTGTTTCTTTACTATCTGAGATTTGTCAACAAGGCTCAATTTTGAAAGATTTGATACTTCCTGAGATATTAAAACCTGTGTCAACTAACTTCATATTTTATGACATAACTGACGAGCTATTCAGGTTGCAATTAATCTATTGTGAAAATAAGAAACTTAACATAAATAATCACTGAATAGCAATAAATATCATGTTTGTTCAATTCTGAGAGTTGATCAGATTCTATCATTCAAACTGTAATGTAGCTAATTAGTCAAAATGACTTAACCAGTGGAGTTTAACCCTTCTCAGATGTGTAGCAGTGTTCACTGAAGACAATTAGATAATGTTGGATTGATCGAAATTAAACAGTAACATCGTTAAATTTCGGCTTAGTGGTCCAGAGATTAAACGTTCGCGCTCAGGACCGAAATTCATGGGCTTGAATCCTGTAAGTAGCAGGATTTGTGAATGACAAGTGCTGATGAGTCCCATACCAAGACAAAAAGGCGTTCCAGTGCTTCCAGGCTTCTAATAGCGGTCTCATGGTTTTAAAAAGTAACTAATTTTGATAATGAATGACTGAATGCATAAAAGCAGTAAGTTTAAGACATAGACTACATGCCATTTAACACTTATAGCTAGAAATGTAACTTCATCGATAATGAAAATGTACAGAAACTCTGACAAAACTTTCAATATGTGTACACAGATTATCAATGTTAATGAAACTGTTTCAACTGATCCCCAATTTATGTTTTTGCAAACTGAATGCTAGAATAATTCATGTTTACAAAAACAAACGTAGAGATCAAAAAAAATACAATACTTTGCATGCAAAAATCAAATTCCTTTCATTTATACAAATCTTGCTTAGGAGTGTATAGTAGATAATACAAGTTTTCTTCAATTTTTTTTTTTCAAATTACACTAAATGATAATTTTATTTGATTAAAAATAACTTTCTGTGGTAACATGATAAGTTAATAATAATACACATGTGTGTCTCTCAAAAAAATGATTTGTAATTTTTAACCTAATGTGAAAGATCGATTTCTGTTGGTGTTTTTGTAAACTTTAAAATGGTTTGCTGTCACAAGATTATAATGAGGCAATCTATTTAGGATACTTATAGGGTAATACAGACTGATCAGTGGTAGTCTAAAATATCAATAAGTGGAACCTACAAATCTATAATGATATCTTCATGCCAACTGAACAAATTTACAACTATTTGAACTCAGTAGCTCAGTCAGTGTATAACAATACATTATAGTCAGTTTGATGTAAAAAACCAGTTAGTTTAAATTTTCATATGATCTTTGTCATTTGGATACACAGATTTTAGATTATGAATGACAAATAGGGCAGAAGGTGATAGTGTCAGTCATTCACATATTAAATAAGCTAAAATGTTATATATATATTATTGGTTTTGATTGAATTATAATCAGTGTGAATTGATATATATATATGCATTCTGTGTGAGGATTGCCAAGATTTGCGAATTACCACATAAGTTTACGTAGAATAAATAGAATTTTATCTGACAATGGAATTCAAGAAACACATTTAAACCAATTCGGTACATCAATGCTGTGAGTAAGATACATCCGGCTGATAAGTCCCCCCAAAAAAATAGAACAAAACCAAGGACTTGGTGGATTCTATTGCTAATCATTTGTCAAAGCGCTTGTCTAAAGTTCAGTAATCTTATTATAGGCACTAAAATAAACGATTTATTCAAAAACTTATTTATTGAGAACAACAACGCTGTTTTTATACATTACGAATGAAAACAAAAGTTCTCCTTGAAATACTCTAGCTACCGTGTTTCAGAGGTTAAGCTTTGGCTCGCAGAGACCGAGGTTCCTGAATTCGTATTCTGCTAGTAACGGGAGCTGTGGATGCGCATCACTTATGCGTCCCACATGTGGACGAAACGGCTGTCCAGTGCTACCAGGTTTCTAATGGTGGTCTAACACTGATTCTAAAAAACAAACTCAACAATCTCCACGACCCTATAATGTCAATATTTGATATAAAAAACACTCATCGTACAACATTCCTCATAGACTGCTGAATGATCTTTTTCTGTGTTGAACTTTTATGAATTCTTTTTTAATCATTTATTCAAAAGATCGGATTTCACTTCAGTATTGTAAAAGTTGTTGAGGATGTTAGATCCCTAGAACTCACTTAAAAAACGTCTTAATTTTGGAGTTTTTGCTTTCGTGAATGGGTTGATCCATTGACTTTGAGATTACATTTCCCACTCGGAAAATCCTTGACTGTCATTGATTGATGTACGCTATTTTTGTAGCTCTCCCAAGGACATTTCTATGATGTATAAATAAACTCAACTTGTGTGCTTGTCAACCTCGTATTTTCTGGGTGCTTGTAGAATACATTTTCTACGCCTTATCAAGACTTCTTGCCTTTGTTAGCAGAGCCGAAGACAATCGAATCAGAATAGCTTATCGTCTCACTGTAGTATTTGTCTTCGCTCTCGTTTAGCGAGTAAGATGAACTCGTAATAGTTTCAAGCATGTCAAAAGTCTTAAACTATAGTTAACAATATCATTCTAAGAAATTATTTACTGTAAATACTTGAGGAATATGGAGAGTGGAAAGAAGCCTTTAAACATTTTAAATAATCATTGAATAATGATCTTTCTGAACAACTAACTAGTGATAAAAACTTATACCTCTCCTTATGATTTTTCATTTGTAATAAACTGTTGTTAATAATGTTAAGCAGGTGTTTGATTTGTTTTAATCTGGAATTTATTCTAGTATAAATGCTGTTGAATATTAACAATAACTAAGATAGGTATATCACAACACTGTTTCATAATACTGAATAATATTGAGACGGTAAACAGCCGCATATCGATCAAAATTATTACAGTTTCTGTAATATCTCTAGTGCTTTTGAAGGCATGCTGATGAACAATTCTGAAATTGAACAAACGAATTGTCTGATACTTCCGATTAACTAATGATGTAAGAGTTTTATGAAGAATATTTTAATTTCATACTTTACATAACAAACTGATGCTATATTCAGACTATCGGGTGTCATAATGATCTACTAACCTTTGGAGGAACTGAGTTAACGTCAAGTAGACCGTTGGATGCAAAAACCCAATGATCTGAAGCTCCAACAATCACTTAAAATTTATAAGCTTGATCTCTAGTAGAATCATTGATAAATACATCTGCAGAGAGCTAATTTTTAACATAAAAATGTCTCTTGAATACTCTGTATTTGTCAAAGTTTGTTAGGCACAAACTATGAAATTCTCCAATAGATTTTATTTCATGAAAAAAGGTTGCCGACTCAAACTATGTAAGTTTTCAGACGAAAAATCACTCAAACAATTTTGATTTATTGAAACTTTTCTATTTTGAATCTCTTTTGAATTGCTATCTGGAACCACTTTTTTTTCTTTGTTATAGAAGCAGAAACAGATTTAACAAATTGTCAAGAATCAACATGTAAATATGGTGGAACATGTGTTGGCACATCGAAATCACCAAAATGTTCATGTAAAGATCATACACGTGGGAAACGATGCGAAAGACGTAAGTTTGCGATTAATATTCAATGCAGCATTATCAGCTGCGACCTTTTGTTAATTTATAGGTTAAAATTTTTATGGCTAAAACGTTTTTTTTTTTTTTTTTTGAAAAATAAACCAATCTATATAACTTTAAAGAAATGATTAAATTAGCTGAGGTCGAAAGAAACATTTTCAAAGTTCAATAAGTGTATGGTATCCAATAATTTCACTTTGTAAGTAGTTAATGCAAGTTGGCGTGTAATTCTCACTAAAGATTTCATTTCAAAGGGCTTCAAATCAAATCTCTAACAAATATAACACTTAACTTAACTGCATCCATCCACCTAATCAGTGACAACATTATTGAAAAGGCTGAACACCTCACATTTCTTGAACATTGAAGACGATGCGAATAACGTCAGCAAACTGATATCAGAAAAACTCTTTCATATTAATATTTTGATTTACTGGTTAACTTAACAAGTGTTAGAATCAGATACAGTGACTATGTTATCTAATGTCTGACTTAACTAACCTCTTCATTGTGAATGAGTTTAAACTGTTCATCATACAAAACAAACAATAAACCATCCTTTAGGATAAATTGAAATTTGAAATAATGAAAATGTTTAATTAACCGATCAATATAACAAAATATTGGTCTTCCAATGAAGTCAATTCTTATCGATGCCTGTAATGAACGGAATAATTTAATTTAAGATATTAAACATTGAACACGTTGATTAACACGAATCAAATATTCATAATTTCATTTAATATATAGTATGTTACAAATAATCCATCACGAAAATTAAAACCTCGAAACGAATTTCTTAAAAACTTTTAAAACATTTATCTACAAAGTTAACTTTCCACAGCAGGGATTGAAAGGTTTTGTCAGATATAATCTGTTAATCATGAAATAACTTGACAGTAAGTGACGATTTTTAAAAATAAAATGCTATAAACAGATGGAAATGAAGATTATTTAATAGAAAGGCTAAATTTAAAAGAAAATTTTCAGTTGCAATAAATAACTTTATCAGTACGTTTCTAAAATCAATATTTTAACTTTTTTTTTTTCCAATTAGTCAGTCAGTTGATTATGAGACACTGATAATTAATTGTTATTCTGAATTCTTACTCATATAACAGGACAAATTAAAAAGAAGGCAATTTTATGAGAAAAGCATAGAAAAAAATAGATGATACGATAGAAAGCGAAAGTTGTTAAGTTTGTTGCGTGAAGTGATTCGAATATTGTTGTCGAATAGTGTTGACTATTATTTCACTAATCTTCATACTCTGATCTGCCCGTGTATGTTGGTAGTTGAAAACTGTCATTAATTCAAAGAAGATAGAATAGTTATGATGTATTAATCTATGCCGAATCGAGTGATAGGGTCAGAAACTTTATTCACTCAAGTGATATTCGTATATGTGTTGCACATATCTAGTTACCATCTAACTCACCGAGTGATGATTACTATTAGTGTGGGGGCGATTTGAAAGAAACAAGGAAGTGGACAAACTGAGACGTGACATCAGTCTATGAAGTCATTATCCATGGCCTAGGTTTCGGGATAATCGATGATTGCTAGCATGCGATAACTACAATTTACAGGAGATACGTTCTTTCTTAGTAGGTTGAAGCACAGCCATCTAGTTTCACAACTGGAGATTTTAGCCTTTAATTGTTAATACTAAAACCAATATATTACAGAAATGAAATATTTATATTGGGTAGTGGTGACCAGTGTCATGGTTATTAGTGAAAAGAATTTGTGGAGACTGTATTATTTTAAAAGTTTAAATCACGAACTCATGTTATCTAGATGATCATTAGAAACCTGGAACCAATGGAAGATCGATTTGTCCTATTATCAAAAATCACGTTAGTGAGCATCCACGATTCCCTAAACACAGAACACAGAACAATCGGTCTCATGTGTGAATGCTTAATCTCAAGACCACTGAACCATCATCAAACCGTGTTAATGTCTAAACTTCAATTAATCCATGATCTTGTACAACAACCTATATCCATCGTGTGCGGTGGATAACTGTCTCAAAATTGCTCAGAATTGAACTCCTGTGATGATGGTTTCTCACTAAAACTTCCGATAGATATATCTTGAATCTAGTCAGTCATGAGTACATGATTTTTATTAATGAAACCAGATTTGTTGAGATTATGTTATTTTCATAGTCAAAATCACGAACTGATCTTAGCCGAAACCACTATTGTCTATGTTTTAAGTACTAGACGAATTCTATCAATAATATGGCCACTAGTCAAAGTGATTTAACATTGTCTACACTATGTTTCGTTATTAAGTGATTATTAGTGATGAACATATCTACCGATCACAAATTCACTAGTCTCTCTAAATCATTCTAAAAAGAAACGTTTATTCTTGTCAGAATTGTAACCAAAATTCTTATCGTATCTCTTCAGAAAATAAATAAGCTTACCAAATGTTATAAAGTTGACTGACCCAAGTAAATTCTTTCTGCTCCTTATCTGTCCAAGTTAGCTAATTTACATTTTATTATTATGAATCAACAGCTTACATAATAAGTGTACATCAATTAAGTGACTATAACAACACACCATAATAATGGGAAACATATTATAAACATCACGAAGTCATTTACGGTACAAAATTGAGTAACAGCTGAATATATCATTTAATGTAATTAGTTAGTACTAAGGGCTAAACAAATATAACACTGGTTATACTACTCACTGAATAATTGATATAAATGTCTCACTCTGGCAAAAGGATCAGATATAGTCCGAAACGCTCAATGGTAATGTCTCAGGCTATTGGGTTAGGTGATTCGTTTTGAATACACCAAACAAAACACTGACATTGCAGTTCATCCATTGTCACAAGTACTAACTTGCAAAAAATCTTGATGGAACAGAGTTTCCAGTTCATTATCGCAAACTACCCAATATATTAACATAGTGAAAATGATGTTGAGTAACTCATACTGGAGTCTACAGTGCAACTTCCCGTATATAGAGTTCAGTCAGCTCCAAGAGTGAGACAAACATAACACTGGTAATTACTCAGTGACTAATCAATTTGAAGGTAAATTAATCTTAAGCAGAAATAAATATGTTCGCTTATCCTTCATTAAATGGTAAGTAAACTCGTGTACACTTTTTACTGTTATGTGGTTGTAGGTTTCATGCCAACCGTTATTTGTCTATTCACTTTCCGATTTAAGTAATTCACATGGAATGATTCGAATTTACCTCACTAAGTTCCAAAATCACAGATATTACCATTGAGCTAGTTATACTAAGACTGACCTGTAAGACCCGCAGTAAAGTGAAAAAATAATTGTAGTTGGACCATCTAGTATAGATTTGGTTGTTTTTTAACGCTTAAGTGATCACTGCTAAATCTAGGTTAAGTGTTCGCACGCAAGGCCGAAGGTCCTGGCTTCGAATCCTGAGAGTAGTGTGAGTCATAGATGTGCCCACACCAGAACGAAACGGGCGTCTGGTGCTTTCAGGTTTTTACTGGTGGCCTAACGATAATTTATTCATAACTCTTCATAACTCTATAATGACATGTCTCAAGATGCTATGTTTGATCCATAACGAGTTCATAGATGAGAACCTCTGACAACTAGGACAAAATAATGATCATTTACTCTCTTATTGTTCAGTGTTCCTTCAACTAATCAATATGACCAATTATTTTAATGAAGAATCAATGAATATTGTCTTTTTAGATCGTTTTATTTCTTTATTGATGAACGTCTCATCAAATGTACAATTTCTTGATGTTCACTGAGAAACGCACTCACGTTGATTACTTTCAGCTATACGACGAAGATAATTATTTTAAATAATCAATAAAAAATGTGTTAAATAATCAATACTTAAAAAGAATATTTAGACAGAAAGTAAAACATAATGTTTCATTTTATCTGTCTTTTCACATGATTGTGACTAATATTATATAATTGCACAAAAGAATTTTATGCGGAATTTATTTACTACATTGTCAAATCACTCTCTTCTTAATCTTTTTTTGTTTAGATGACCTGACATTTATTGTGGAAATGAAGATATACAACGATGGTAAAGAGGCTATCTGGCAGAAAGATTTTGAAGATAAATCTAGTTATCTTTCTACTATGAAAACATCAGATGTTTGTAAACTTGTAAGTTTTTAATGGAAGCTTTCCTACTGATAATTTACTCAATAACTGATTCTAAAACATCGAGAATCTACATCTATGGGTTTTGAGATTAGGCGTTCACGCTCGCCGGACCGAAGGTCCAGAGTTCGATTCCTGCATCCAGCGGTAGTGAATGCTCACCGCTGATGAGTCCCATACTTGGACAAAACCGCCGTCCAGTGGTCATCAGGTTTCTGATACTGATCTGACATTGATCAATGCACGGCTTCAATAAAATAATATCGATCAAGTTTGAAACAATCATTCAAACTATTATCAGTACTTTTTTTGAGATGGTGCAGAGAATTTGTAGCTCAGGTGGATGATTGTGGTGGTGTGTTAGTTCTCTGAGCTGCCAACAAGTGTCAAATACAGACCACCAATCAACTGCTCAAAGGGGGTTGGCGATTAGCGGAACAAAGTGGAAGACATACGGTACAATTATTGATCAACGATGCACCAGCTCAGAGAACTAAACACTACCACAACTATTATCAGTACTTTTATCACTACTAATACATCTGTTATGATCATATAATCAACTTGTACTTTTTATTAAATACGCTTAGTCATTGTTATCAATAACTCACAAACTATTATCATTGGTTTAAAAATTTTTGGCATAAATATTTTTGTCTAATTGAATTAAAACGTGATGACAATTTGATGACAATGAATATAATCCACTTTTATGTGTTTGTTGTATTGTAATCAGTATTATTTCATAATTTTGTAAAAATTCATTACATAACGTATAATTTAGTCATCGAAACTAGTGTGGTGTGAGCTACTTATAAGTAGTATATGACGTGAGTGTCAACGTAATGTCTGGCAGCAGAAGATGGGGGAAGATCAAGAAAGGAAGAGTTAGAAGAACACAATGGAATTTGTATGAAACACATGAATAGTAGTGACAATGGATTGATGTTTTGCAACAGGAACAGTCCAGTTCGATATGATGATGGACTGATATTTTGCAAATGAACGATTTACGATATGGTTTTCCAATTTTACTGAGTAACTCTGTAATTTTCGCTGGGTACAACTTGGTTGTCTTCACCTGTGTTCTTCTTCACTACACTAGTACAGTTTGATATTTAAGCAAATGCACAAGCAAAATACTGATTCTTTAAAGTTGCCATTAATATCAACGCAAGCACATTCATTGTCTTGTAGCCATCATAAACATCAAGAAAACAGAAACAGTTAAATGGGTATCATTTTCAAGTACAATCGTTAGTGACATTCATCAGTCAAACGTGTATCTATACTATGAATTAACATTTTTTTGTACTGATAGACCGAGTGGATATGAATTTAAACCTGAGAAACTATAAAAAACTTGGACAATTTATTAATACAATTATTATGTCAAATCATATAAGTCAATAATGTTAACAGTTGTGTACTTAGTATAGTTGGCTTATGGCTAACAGTGAACGTCAGGATGCACTTTTCATCCTTGCTGGAAATCGTCAACTAGATGCACTTGATATCTAGTATTATTGTTCACACAGGGCTTGAGGTATATCCAGTTTACATGTCCCGAATGGGATGAAACATATGTAATGGATTTCTCTGCTAGCCATAATCCATCTGTATCAGTTACTTTCCGGTCATTCATGGTTTGTACGAATAGTGATTGTGATATCTGACGTCCAAATCAAACCTGTAACCGTTTGCCTGTTTCTTTAATCCCTAAAACTACGATTAGTAACTTTCGTACTTTTTACCTACTTTATATATAAGCGAACAATATTGTTTTCAATTAGATTGTCATCAGGCTTTACTCTAATTTACATCAATATTTATATGAAAATGTTAAACCAATCAAGGCAATTTGAGTCAATAATCATAATGAAATGAAAAAGACCACGTCATTACACATAATAGGCAAAAGTACAAGCTGATAGTAGTGAGGAAATTATAAAATACGATAACATCACATATTAATATCAGTTAGGATTAGTAGTCCTAGATACCCACTGCTGATGAGTCCCATACCAGGAAGAAATGGTCTTCCAATCCTTTCAGATTTGTAATAAAATATTCAAGCAATGATTTATTCATGATTTCAGTGATATATATTTTCTTGTCATTATGAACTTGTAGCATTTATGTTGTTTTTTGTGCTATTCTAGCTACAATTAGGTATAACTCATGGAATTAATGTGCAACTATCTAGTTCATTTATTGGTTGTTCTTTAAATGCTTTTCATAAAAATCCATTCACAACAATTGAAGTACAATTAATATTAGATGTACAATTATCAATACTGGCTGTAATCACACCTACATTAATTAAAAATCAAATTATAACTGGATTAAAAACAATCAATCCAAATTCATTAAATGAATTGAAAACTATTTCATTAGATGATTTGACTGTTAATAATTCATCAACGTTTAAAATTTATGGTAAGTACTACTATTCTAATTCAAATTGAATTTAATCTACTACGTTTTTTGTTCATTATTCAATGAATGTATTGTGTTTTTTATAATTGAGCACATTTCAACCATGATTTATTGTTGGTAAATGTTAAATTGTAGAATGAAATTTTTATATTGGAGATTTTTACATCAAACAAACATTTGGACGTTATCCTTATCTATTTGTAATGAATAAGTTAGTGTAATTTAGTTCAAAATGCCGTATGTAAAACACAGAAAACATTGAGAAACATATGATGAGTTGTTATGCTGGTCAATTGATATGCTTGAAACTATTACAAGTTCACCTTAGTCAGCAAACGAGAGCAAGGACAAATGATCCACTGACATTATACGCTATTCTGATTCGATTGTCCCCGACCCTGCTAACAAAGGCAACAAGTCTTGATAAAGCGTAGAAAGTATATTCTACAAGCACCCAGAAAATACAAGACTGATGAGCATACAAATCGAGTTTATTTATATACATGATAGAAACGTCCTTGGGAGAGCCATAAAAATAGTGTACTAAAACAGTACATCAACTTATGACAGTCAAGGATTTTCTGGGTGGGAAATGTAATCTCAAGGTCAACTGATCAACCCATGCACGAAACCACAAAATCCAAATTTAGGACCTTTTACACGTGATTTCCGGGAATCTAACGTCTCCAACACGACTCCAATGGAAAATTATACTCCTATCATGCAGAACTCATCTATGAAATAAATGAAAAGAAAATACGAACTGAACGTGTTCGATTGTGGTGTGCAAGGTATCGCTAGTTTCGTGACGGTCGGTATCCAGCGTGTTCTTAGGCTTCGTAATTAGCTCGTCCAGACAATCGTTACTAAACAGCGTCTGACGGTTAATAAATCAGAAGGTTAACTCGAAGTGTTGAACACGTTTATTTTGGCACATCACAATCAGATCGGCAGACTACAAGCACCTCAAAGATAAAATGGTCATGTGAGTATCGGAAAGCAAGCAAGCGTGCGAATCGGCAAATGAATGGATGAAGCGGAGGGGAGAAGATTAGTGAGCCAAGTCCCACAGATAATGTATGACTAAGAATCTATAGTCAGACAAAAGTAAAATAGACATCTAATAGGCGAGATAGGCTTGACTATGAGTGTAGGCGGTAGGCAATGTTCAGAAATACCAGCTCATACAAACCAGACAATAATTAAATCCAATGGTACACATAAGTTGTTGCTATAAGAACGGCTTGGTTAAATAAATTAATCGAAAGGCTTAACTAAATTAAATGTTAGCGAACTCAATTATACGTGGAGGCACAACACGATACCATAGGACTAACGACTTCAGAATAATAAAATACGTAACATGTTACTTTAAAAGGAGTTAATTATCATCGTTGTTGTTTCTTTTGCATGGTAATTTAGTAAAACCAAAAATCCAAACTATATCATCTGACTACTGTTTATATATAGTTAAACAGTAGACATAATTCATAATGATTTCTCACGGATAAAACATACAAAGAGCCCTAAACTAACTTCAAAGTAATCGCAGTTTCTTTTTAAATCATGAATCGATCAATTTTATACCACCAGTAGTATCCTGGAAGCACCAGGACAGCCGTTTTGTTTTGGTATAGGAATGACTCATCAGCAGTGCGCATCCATGATTCCCGCTACTCTCAGGATTCGAATTCATGACCTTCGGTCTTGCGCACGAACGCCTAACCTCTAGATCACAGTTTATTAAACTCTCATGAACACAAAACCTGAAAATTCTACCAAATAATGCCTATAAATTTGAAATTCCAGTCAAAAATGATGGAATTTATAAGAAAAAAACAATAAATGACAAAGTTTGATTTCAAAATGTTGTTTTTTATCAAACTACTGACACTTACAGGGACAATAATACTAAACTCATTGAAGTCGGCCCAAAATCCATGAGAATCACTTGACCTTCGGACTAGTTTACATAAATAACAATAAATCCATTTATTATACAAAATAAAACGATTAGTATCAATCCTTATATGAATACATAAAGAAATCACTATGATGTAATGCCTTTTTGAATTGGCTGACAGTTTGAAACATTGATTACTTGAGTACTTAAATCATATACCATTGATTTTTAACCAAATGTGTTTGATATGATAGTTTGTATTCATCTCATAGACTATGACAATCAATACAGTGTAAAATCGTAGTTACAATGAAAATGAATAAAAGGCTAATAGTCAATTCGTAATTTATTGGCAATCAACACCGATCTTTTGCAGTTTTTTAGTTCTGTATTGAAATGTTGTATGTCAGTCATCATCCTCGTGTATCAGACAAAAATAACCTATTCTTTTGATTGGTGGTTTATTTCTTGGAAATCGATTCTTCGAAGGGGTTCGAATTAATCAATCAATCAATCAATCTCCGATCTCGTGATCAACTATCATTCAGCCGCATTGTAGTATCAGTCAGTCTGCTGATCTTATTTAACACTCTTTACCATCACAAGTCTTGTTCATTTACTGAATCGTTTTCTACTTCTATTGAATAAATATCAAAAAGTAGTTGACTTATTTCAAAACTTTCTTTCTCATTTTTAAGTTATGAGAAAAGTTATATCTTTATAAAATGAACATCTAATTCAAACATTCATTATTCATTGATTATTTCTGATAGAATGATGAGAAAAGCAATAAAAACTACATCAATAAACTATGAATGAAATGTATAGTTCAAAAGAAAGGTTTGTAAAGTTTTATGAAATAGCAGACTGTGTTCGAGTAATAGGCATTTGTTTAGTCAAATCTATAAATATAAGACTATAAGGATAATTTAGTTAAGTATTTTTTTTTAAATTAATATCGATTTGTGATAAAAGTCACTTTCATTTATAGAAACAAATTTTCACACTGTTATATAAGATAGTGACTTATTTTAGTTAGGCTGTAAGAAAACATAGTACCTGACACTTATGTGATATATATATATATTGATATACTGATGATTTTAAATGTGTGAAAACACAGAAACTCCCAAACTCTGCCTGAAAATATTGTAACAATGCTTACTAGTGACTAGCTTCGTGAGGAAATTCTCGGAGTTCTAGTTGAGAAGACATGACCAATGGTGTTCAACCCTGTCGGGTGTAGGCAGTAACTACCAAAGACAAATGAGTGAGGTCGCGCTAAATCCCTAGATCAATCAGAGTTAGACATTAACACCGTTGGATACCGGCCCAGCAGTCCGATGGTTAGGCGTTCGCGCACAATACCGAAGGTCCCGGGTTCGAATCCTGCGGCATGCAGGAGTCGTGGATGCGCACTGCTGATGAGTCCCATACCAGGACGAAACGGCCGTCTTTCAGTGCTTGCAGGTTTCTAATGGTTGTCTAACAATGATTGATTGATGATTTCAAATGTGTAAAAACACAAAACTCCAAAACTCTACCCGAAAACTAATATTTATATTAAGGCAAGTAAATATAGAGAATGCAATGTGAATTCACAGGATATATATAGTATCGGATAACTTTGTGTAATGTTTGTGAGTACAACATTATAAAACGAAGTAGTATTTACAATGTGATTTTTGTGATTATGATAAGCATGATGACTTTAAACTGTCTGCCAATTTGATATCCACTAGTTTATGATATTAATTTCCATTAATTTGTAATTCAATTTTTATCCTCTTTTAATGTTTTCATACAACTATAGTCTCATTTAGAAGGATGGATTAGTTCTTTGAAAATTCCATCTTGAATCTTGATTATTTATATGGAGATAGTGATTACTCACTCAGTGATATGCATTTATCTCTGATGATTTCGAACAGTCTGACATTTAACTTTCAATATCATGGACTCGTATACATCACAGCATTGTTTCATCATGCGATCCTACATTGGATCAAACCCCATTGTACAGGGGACTGAACCTCAGACTTTCTGTCTCCCTAGACCACTAAGGTAGTATCCAACCGTGTATATTGTCAAACTCCAATTAATTATTAATATTATAAGACTATCTTTGATTGTCTTCGGTAGGTAACTATCTCCTCACACCTGATAAGGCTAAACTCATCACTGATCATGGTTTCTCATTGGAATACTAGAATTACTACTTGAAATTAGTCAATACTGAGCAAATGGTATTAATAATCAGCTGAGAGATTTGTAGAGCATTTATCTGACACTAGAAATACACTTTGGATGAATAGATGGAGTGGAGGTTAGTACTGGAATCCAGGATGCACATTTCATCTTATTTAGGACTTGTCTATAGTTAGTAAAATGTAGTTGCATCTCAGATTTGATAGTCACTTCTGGATTCCACTACTAGCCACATTCCATCTATTCTATGTAAACTTGTGTCATATGGGAGCAAAAAGCATTACTTAATTCCTTACATTTACTTACGCCTGTTACCCTCAATGAAGCACAGGCCGCCCACCAGTTTTCTCCAACCAAATCTGTCCTGGGATTCCCTTTCCAGTTCTGTCTAGTGTTTGTTCATTCCTCTCATATCTTCCCCTATTTCTCGACGTAATGTGTTCCTTGGCCTTCCTCTTTTCCTTTTGCTTTGAGGGTTCCATATGAGGGCTTGTCTTGTGACGCAGTTAGCTGCTTTTCGTAGTGTGTGTCCTATCCACTTCCACCACTTCTTCCTGATTTCCTCCTTCACTGGAATCTGGTTTGTTCTCTCGCACAGTACGTTGTTGCTGATCGTGTCTGGCCAACGAATACGAAGTATTTTGCGTAGACAACTGTTAATAAACACTTGTATCTTCTGGATGATGGCTTTCGTAGTTCTCCAAGTTTCCGCTCCATAGGAAGGTCATATAACAACCAAGCCTAATGAAATTTTTAGTCGACAATACAGACAACGGGATAATTCAAAAACCATTACATCGTGATATCCATAACAAAATAATATAAGTACTTGCTAAAACTATTGGCTCACGTAAAATCGGTTAAACGTTTTGCATGCAAAACTAGGTTTCAAATTTTTGTCAGAAAATGACTCATCACCTATTTTACTGACATACAATTCGTTTTTTTTCTCATTTCTACCTTCTAAAGTTCTTGATCTTTGTAAAATTGGAGATAATGACTGTTCAACAAATGCTAAATGTATTATTCAGCCAGCAGGTACCTATCTGTGTGTATGTAATTCTTTTACAATTGATGCATCATTCGACGCTCTTTATCCTGGACGACGTTGTATGTGTAAGTATTTCTTTAGCCTAATAATATTAATTAAAATCACTAACTCATTTAAGTGAAATAAACAATGAATATCTAGAAGCACTGGATGGCCATTTTGATATGCAGTTGTAATAATGAAAACGATGAGTAAGTCTTGAGACATTCGCCAGGAATAGCTGGTCCAAATGGGAGATGATAATTCGTTTATGAGTATGTGTCTTTCAAGTCCCTTCTTGAAGCTATTCATTCGGGGGACTATGGTCATTTTGACTGGATGAGTGTTCAAAGTGGGAACACCTCTTAATTCAGGCACGTGGAAGCGTACCTAGATGTTTGCTGGCTGATGTGCAATTTTTCAAGGGCACGGTTGCTACGAACTGGTAAGATGCTTGTGATAAGGTGACTCGGTGTACTTAATACGTTACATGCCTCTACAGGGCAGAAGTTATGAATTCGTGCTCCTCTCCAACCAAATCGTCTGACTTTGTTGATGATTTTCAAGTACTGATCAGGTCCAGTGATGTGACCAGAATACAGCATATATTTTTATGTTGAATCGTTCTTTAAAATATATTCATCTTTCGAAAGTCACGCCGGACAAAGTTCTGAGATTTGTTTCGAAAGCACTCGCATTGTGCAGCTAATGTAACCTTTGATTTCGTTTTGAACACCTTCACGAATGATTGGGTGCCCAAAAAAAGTTATGCATATCTTGGCGGAATAAAACATTTTATACAAGGATTTCAAAAAATTACTCTTCAAACTTGCCTCAGCCGGTAAATCCAATGAACAGAACATTCATCAAGCGAGTTTTCCTACGAAATGTATGAAGTCTTGCAGATTATAATTTAAGTTTCATGTTTTGCTCCACAAACCTGAATGGGTAACCGTTCTTAAGGAATATCTGTTAGAGGTTGTTAGATAGTTATTCCTTGTCTATCGTTTATTCTGAGAATATTATCTTATCCTTTGATAATAAAGATTAAACTAGGCTTCTGGTTATCATTGAAAGTCGAAGTCGGAAGTGAATGGGCAGATGTAAACACGTCCCAATCATCATAACTGATGAGGTCTTTTTGCCTTATCAACCGATTCGCAATGTTTAACTATTGCTCAACATCCGGGCATAGCGCTGCCCACTCAGTGGTCTTAACATGCTAAAGCATTGTTTCGAAGATATCTGTCACCAAATACTAGTAACCAGTTAACTTTTCACTAGCACCTGACACTCAAAGTATACATCCGATCTACACTACTATAAATTAAGTTTACTATGACTAAAAATGTGCTACTGATCTATTGAGTTATGTAACTTCTTTTGCCTGACATTAATGAATAATAATACATGAATTACTAATAAATTTTAGTCTCTATTATTGATTCTACTCATATCCCCATTTCAGATGATGGTCTAATTATCTTAGCATTTGCTGTTATCGGTGGCCTTATTTGTACTTTAACTGTACTTATTTGTGGTTGTCGACGAACAATTTGGCGTAGATATCGTCATGATCCAGAATCGATTGATTTAATAAATATGCCAAGAAATTATGATATCTAAAGAGAGAAAAAAAAAGTGTACATTTTTATTTAAAAATTCTTTATTTTTGTTTGTATGAAAAAAAAATGAAGAAGAAATTTCCCCACACCTGTATCCCCTTTTATTAATTCAATATTCACAATAAGAGAATGAAACAGAAATAACCAGAAATACAAGTAAACCAAGCATGAAGCATAAAAACTTTCAAATAATTTATTGATTTCAGGTGCATCCTCTTTTCTCAATATTCACTAATTGAATATTTGTCAAATACAAAAAAAATTTATCCTTTTATCTTTTCTGTTCAATGTAAAATAAATTTTGTTCATTGTAATGAATTTTCTGCCGAAGCCTTTCCCATCAAAAGTATATATATATATTATTGACAAATACACGCATGTTTACTCATCTCTCTCACTCACTCACACACACATACAAGCAAACGAACAAATTATGATGGATACTTCAACAACAACTTCTTTTCCATTTCAATTTGATTTATTCTGCTTGTTTTCTCCATACACTTTACACGTTGTTATTTTCATTTTTTGAATGGTATGATTATTTTCAACACGAACAACACTTATTTATTATTATTAATAACTAATTTTTTTTAAAAAAGAAACACATATTTTTATGTGCCTTGCTTGATTGAACCTTGAATTGTGTGTTTTATTACTAGTTGTGTCAATGAACCCGCTTTTTTTAAAAAATGTGTTTTTTAACCTCAACAATATTTGCTTGCTCTAGTATATATCGTTAGAATTTTTTTGGTGCGGTCTTGAATCACAGATGATTTTGGTGAAAAACAATGTCAAGCAAGAATATAAATCATTAATTTGATTAGAGGAAAGAATACAAATCGGAAATATTTTTGAACACGAATCAACAATAAACTAACTGTAAACAAACAAACAAACAAAAAGATTTTTCACTAGTTATTCATAAATTTTTGTAAGAAAATCTGTTTTTTGTGATGCTGTTTTTTTTTTTATTTTGTTACATAATGTATGAATAAGTTTGGAAATAATTGGAAATACTTTCTTTTTGTGTTTGAATCTTTTAACAAATTACTTAGACTACTTAATTATTTTGATAGTAGGTGGAATAATACTAATAATTTACTGGTTGACTCTAATAACCCAAAATAAATGCTCTAACTATAGAAATATGAAATTAATCAACTTTATCCTAAAGTCCATATGGTCGGTAGGATCGGTTATATGATAGTTCGTCATTGATAAAGGTATGGAACTAGATTACGTCTGTTGCAACTTAAGGACCATTGGCCAATTTCACGAGTCAAGTTATCAACCAGAATTCTGATTCTAATTTGGTCTTGATAGCATAGTGTTCCCAAATCGACTAATTACACTCTAGACTGACATTACCGACTCTGATCTGACAGCTGAGTTTCTACTGATCTATTAGTTGTCAGCTTCTCGTTTTGCCCAGCCTTCTGTTCAAAAGTCAACAACCAGGATTTAAAAAACTTACATTTTAAACAGACATAATGGATCGTATCATACCATAAGATGAACGATAACAACTACGCCCGAGTTATCTGAGAATGACCGTGAATAGAAGAGCTTCTAGGTAAAAGATTGACAGCGAGTTAGGAATAGCTATTGATTTAACAGTAGTTTACAGGTGAACCGAAAACATAATGAATAGAATACATATACATTTTTTTCACAGATGTCAAAGATCCGTCCGATGTTCTCGGTGTACAACAGTTGCTTGTTGTCATATTGATTTCGTTTTGCATTCAGTTGCTTTGCAGCGGCGCGGGTGCATCTGATCTCTGTGTTCGCTTAAATCCTAATCTGAGTTCCTTATCACATTTATCTCTCTCTGTTTTGAATTTATCTCATTGGATTATACTTCCTGAATAGTTAATTCGAACTCCAATCTTCTCCATTACCACTAATACTTCTACTCCTACCACTATGGGATTTGAATTGACGATTGCGTCTCTGCGCTAATGTAGTATGGGAATTTGAACTGATATGCGTACGTAAGACTTTTACGTTGTAATTGACTGACTGCTGTTTTGTTTTTCTAAAATATTAGGGCCAATTAACGTACGACTTTGTGAGATTTTATCCATTTTATGCTTTTTTGTTCAGAATTAGAGTCCTACTTGAAATGCAACATTATAGATCATTGAGCTGAGCTATTTAATTTTTTCGATATCCCAACACCCTCAAATTTAAATTTACTGGATAATATTCAAACATGCTTTCCAAATGTTCTCAACCTCACTTCTGTGTCTCTTAAATATTCGAAGAAGCTAAGACGGTCTTTTGACTTTACCCAACCTAAGGTTTATTATTCTGGTAAATATAATGTTACCGGATGAAATTATCTTTTTGATCAACCTGGTTTTCACCAATTATCACTTTATATTCATAGGCTTATATGGAAAATTCTTTCGCAAGTTATTATACAGTCCGTTACCGACAACATAGAATCTGGACATTTTTCCGACTATGCCATCTCCTGGACAACACACTAAATCCAGTAAATAAGTTTGCATAACACATGACTCAATCAAACACCTTTCCTGACAAAAGTTTCACAGAATCGCTAAAACAGCCTCTCTCTCCCAGTGCATAGCATATGACATTGAATTTCTATTGTACATATATAGTTGTTCTTTCTTCCCTGAGCAATGTTTCAAAGATATCGATAAATAAAAAATAGCGAGAATAAACAATGTTGTTTTTCAGCAACAAAGTCATACACACTTATCAAATGTATACTATATTGGCTATTCGACAGACAAACGTTAAATGTTCCTTGGACCATAGGCGCGATAAATTAGCGAAAGTCATACGTTTTTTTACATTTCAATATTTTAAAAAACATAATAATTATTAGGATAAGATTGCTGATATTATTGAGAAATTATGGATAAAATAGGTTTGCCATCTTTGTCGTCTGAATGGCTACTGGGCTCTTTGAGCTAACAGGATTTAGTATCCCATGACAGATTTCCATGATAATTGTGCTATTGATCAAAAGGAATATCATCGGAATTAATGAACTTCATAATCTTACAATTTTATCAAGTTAAACAGATAGAAGATTAAAGGTCATTAAGGATAGTGGAAAATCTGAAAAATAAATTCTATGAAATATCAAGCTACAATTAATCAAGCAAGGCAATCTGAAAAGTTTTATGTCCAGAATCAAAATGTGAATCAAAATAATATGCATCAAAAGTTAACTAATAGAAAATAATTTTCACTAATTATCAGTTCATATGAACTATATGCTTCATCTTCATTTTAATCCAGTTATCAAGCTAGAAATTTATTACCATCCGGTTTTCTTGAATAACCACCATTTGTTGCCTGAGTATGACTTGCAGCTAAAAAGCGAAGAAATTTAAGAATTTTTAATTATGTTACTTATTAGTAGTTTAAGTAGGCTTATAAAATATTTTATAGCTCAATCAATGTGCAATACTGTGAAAAAAATTGTATGTGAACCTTAAGACTTTATATATAGGGGGAAATTTAGTTCTTCGGAATCAGCTTTCAGTCACTATTATCACTGCTACTTATTATCCATGCAACTAATGCCATAAAAGATTTTGTAGAACGAAAATTAAACAAGCTCTAACAAAAAGTTTTTTGCATAGCATTTATTGATGTGATGTGATTTGTCCAGATTTGATATTCTTTTAGGCGTGATTTCACCAAATCCGATAACATTTAAGGAAACACTTGACAGATCAATCTTCAATGTAATCAATACAGTGACTAATGGATGTGCTTAATTGAGCTTTCTGATCTAGATAGTCTAATTAAAGAGCTTTCATTATCATTCTGGACATGAATCTTTAATATATATCAGAGTCCTAATGGCTATTTATTCATCTCAAGCTGATTATTTTACTTCCAAGCATTTATTGCAAGCTGATGTATCAAGTTTAAACTAGGAGGTTTCGTTTTAAATCTCAAATATAAACACTTGTGATTCTACTACTACACCTTATGTTGCTCAGGCTGCTTGAAGCACATCGTGTTTTTTCTAATTATCGTTCAGACATTTTTATACTTATTCATTTAGTGGAGAATACATTTTATGAATGTAAAGATATAACATAAGGTATTGACAGAAATTCAGCCAGTAAACTTATAGTTTCTACTTCGGTAGAATTCATCCAGTGGTCATATGAAATAACCCGACTTAAATATAGGCTGGAACGTTGAAGAATTATCTAAACCAAAATGATTTTGAATGGGTATTACTTGATATTTCTGCCTAGTAAGACTTTATACAAACCTATTTTAAATGTGAACTAATAACATCAAATTTTTACAGTTTAGGCGATATAACTGCTCGGCTCACTCAATAATCACTATCTGATGTCCTTTTAATTCCCTTAACTAATAATATGAGCCATAGAAGTTATTCTGAATAAAAAATCCACTGCAGTTGTTCAACCCGCCACCGTAATGTGGCGGTTACATCAGCATTTGAAAAGATTAAATGATGAAAGCAATGAAATATTCTTTTGTTTGTTTCTTTCTAAGTCCACATTCAGCTTTCCGATTACAGCAGTTAAATTTTCGATTCTTTTTATCTCATCTGCTTCATCATGTCTCTTTCACTGAGTCATTATCGTGACCAGTAATTTTTATTGGTTTACAAATTCATGCCAGATGTTAATAAATCAACAATGAACCTGGTTTCATTACTTTGTATCGCTTATCTCATAATAAAACTTCATTCTAAATATCCCTTACAACATCTAGATTTACAATTTACAATTTATAATAAAAAAAAGTATATTACTGATTTGTAATTACCGATTGCTTCTGAAACATGTTCCAATCGTTCTTTATAATCACTTGTCCATATTGTAAACGGCTGACTTGGTGGAGGACGTACAATTACAGGTTTTGGAGGTCGATTCTTGATCAACCTCCTAGAAAGACATTAACATAACAATAAACAAATGGAGACAATAAATAGTAATGTTGGGATTTAAGTAGTGAAAATTTTACTGAACTTCATGGGAGACGAATCAAAAAAATAATATTTCTTTCGTCACCTTTCGTATTTGTAGTGATTGCGAGTGTTAAAGCACGTTTGAAGAAGTCTAGGGGTGTTACATCTAATAAATGAAGTCAGTGACTGCTACTTTGAGCCATATTGGTAGGTACAGAGTACTTGTATCGTGAGTTTTTATTAATGGTTATAGATATTAGGTATCATGAATTGAAATCGGTTCCACTGGCAGAGATGCACTCATTTTCGTTTTCTCCTAAAATTGAAGTTCTGAAATTATCGTAAGGATTTTGTCCTGCTAAATCACTTCTTTCATGTTTGGACCTGGTGTTGTTCGGTACTGATGCTGATACTACTTTTCGCATCCAAACTTTTATATTGATATTTTAATTTTGATGCGCTGATGTGAATCATCACAAGGACATTATATCCAGTGTGAATATTGAACAAAATGGTGTTACATCAGCAACTAAGTATCCATCATAAACATCCTATTAAATAGCACCCTGAATACGAAAGCTTATTTTAACTAGAGTAGGGTCATATTGGTGAAAGACAAGACTGCTTATACTTAGGATTGATACCGGTATATTAATTCATTGATTAATGGCTTAAATTCAGTTGAAGATTTTGACTTTTTAGATACCTTTCTCTTAGGATGGTAAGCGCTATTCATAAAACTTTCATGGAAATACGGTTCACAATTGACCACAACCACAAAGGTTATTGTAATCTCGGAAATCTAGGTCTAAAATTCCGTTGGTAGTTTCATTATTAACCATCCGTTTCCTAATATTTGATTTACATTTGTCATATTGTATATTAAATAAATTTTGATTTGTGTCCTATTCAACTCTAACTGAGTGTAGAAGCATTGTGCGAAACCGTCCATTTCAACACCTAAACTATCTCAACTAAAATTAAACACCTATTGTCCAGTCTCACCACATCTAGTCAGTTCAGTTATAATAAATCACCATCAATGTTTACATAAGCAGTTACTCACGGTACAAAAACTGAACATTTTCAGGAAGTCATTTCGTTGGTGCAATAAACCTGTGCACGAACTATATATTTACAAGTAATTTTAAACTGGTTACTATGTGGATATGTAAATGATGACATTTATCTGATAGTGGTGATGCACAACTAATTAAGACAACCAAGGCTTTGTATTTTTATTTGAAAGTCTTAAACTAATTCATTTACAAACTATGCCATTTTCTAGAAAAAACATAGTCTTTAGGTTTTACAAGACATGAAGCCACAATTTCTGAAAGCAAACAATGATAGTGAACAGCCACATGCTTTAAAAGTTTTTTTTCACTTTGATCAATGCTAGTTCATATTTCCATGATAAAGCCTTAACATTTTTATATATAAGTACCTTCTTGATGAGTGTGTTCCAGACCAAAGTACATAAAATTTTGTCTAAAAATTAGAAATTGAAAAGATTTCAGCAAAAAATTAACTTCCCAAAATGACTCAAAATTTGATCGTACTTCGTCTTATTTAGCGTTTCTAATTGTATCAAAGCCTCTGCGTTTGACTTCCACCAATGGTTATTGTGGTCATAATATGCTTTGAGCCTGAAGTCTAGATCGTCGTTTGGAGCCTCTAGGTCATAATAATCGATCTTTAAGACTCACTGATATGCGAATTTTCAACTTACTGTATGTCTGAAGCTAGAAAGAGTATGGTGAGCGTTAAGTTTATTCCAAGGATCTTTTAAACGTGCCAAATGTGGTGGAAGTTTGAATACTTTGTGCTTCACTAAAGTCAAGTCAATTTGAAGACATACCTCCTTTTTCGGAAACGACGATAAAGTATCATCATTCTCCAGTGTAATTGGCGGATGAGGATTTCGTCCAGATTCACTCATTGTAACCTTGAAATTTTGAAAAGAAGATAACTCTTGTTGTCATGTGAAAACCTTCCAATATCCAATATCTAATCCAATTTCTTTTTCACGAGCTAGTATAAATTAATTGATTTCTTTGCGCTCGACTCTTGTTTTTCGGTACGGTCCCAGGTATTTGCTAGTTTCCAATTAATAGGGGTTTAGCCACTCGTCTGCACTAATTCTAGTCAGTTGGCAGTTGGTTGTGAGTTTGTATGTCCCGTGATTTATATGAATACGTTTGTTTCAGGGTACTAGGTTTTCTGGATACAAGTAGCTATCACATTACCAGACCGGAGATATTTTAGTTGCAATGTGGGAAAACTTAGGAGAAATTTCTAATGGAAATATAATTAAGCTCACAGAACTAAGTAAATCTCCCTACTAAGATCTCAGAGACTCTGAGTTAAACTGTCCTTTCCGATCCGAGTGAGACACGACAAACCAGTAAGAGTAGCTGCCAGCACATCAAAAAACACCCAAGAATAAACTAATATAGGGGTCCACGAAGTGAATGAGCTGGTTAATTGTAGCTTGGATCAAGCTTACGCAAATGCCGTGCAACATTGACGGTGGCTTTGATGTAGCATGTGCCTTCAGACCACCATGGCAATTAGCTTATTCCGGCTGCCTCGCCCATCACATCTCACTACTATGAAGTATCTGCGTCTGATGACTGTGGGAAGATCTAAATGAGAGGTTTCAGGCTTGGCGCAGGATGAGCAACGATCTTTCTTATCACATTAGATATCGCGAGAGCCAAACAAGACCGGTGAGACAACAACAGAGTGGTAAGAATTAGTTTATACAAACGCCAATCAACATCGAACCACAATGTATGTCACAAGAGAGGAAGATTATAGTCTCACTAATTGAATGCACTACACAAACAAATACCTGCAGAGGCTAGTTTTCAAAGGAAAGGCTAACTTGGTTTGAATGACTTGCTTAGTAATCCAACAACCATTTTTACTGCAGAGGTGCACGAGGTAATGAGACAAACCTCCAAGTGCCTCTATGGTAGCGTAAGAGAACTGGGGGGGTTGCTGGAAGAGAGCATGAATATGTACTCTCAGATGAATCTGAAGATCAAAATACTATCTGAAACATGGCAGTTTCCTGACATTTCATAGTACAATCTGGGCTATCAAAGCATGACACTTCCGATGCGATAGGGTACACAAATCAAGATGAGTTGAACAGTTATTTCGAAGCCGTAACACTACACATCACCTGACCTACTGTTAGTTATTTTATAACTAATTGTAATTATACCATAACTAACCAATCAGATTGTGGTTTAAGCGCCCACCACGTGATCTGACCTGACGTTTCTGTAAACCTTCTTTGTTGTAAATGACCTAAAAACTGATTGCCATTATTATTTTATTATATTGATGTGACTCATAACTGTACTCATTTCCATAAGACACGCCATATTGGCCGGTACGTTTGCTCGTCTTCTACTGTTTCTGTCAGTGGCATGGTGTAAATATGCTATCAGAAACTGACTCTTATGCTTAATTTAACTGCTATAACTTTTACGGTAAATGTGAAAGCATTTGTGACAATTTGATCTAGCCTGTAAACTGGCGTGACTCCTTTAACGTAGTTATTTGAGAATAAATACACCATCAATACAAATGGCACAAAATAATTGACTGGTGGGATTTGCCGTTCCCCCCGAAGTATTGAGGCCTAGAACAATAAATTGACAGCGGGCAGTACTGCAACTTTTATTCCTTTGATTGATCAAATATTCTTAGTTGGAGATTTCGACACTCCATCTCTAAATCTCAGCAAACGGTGTACAACTCTCACAGGTTGGTTCCCAAAGCAGTCATTTGTAGTTTCAGATGGTATGAGCTTGTGAATACAGCCAGAAGATAGAGTTAGGATGGAAAATCTCCAAAGTTGGATTATTTGTTCACAAATGTTCAGCTCATGTTAGGTGGTGTTAATGAGTACACACCATTAGTAATTAGCGATCTTAGAGCAGTCATGTTAAACACGGAGAGAGGGACGAGAATGAACCCTACCTATGATATGCTAGGGAAAATTACACAAAAATGAGAGAGTATCTCCTACGCACCCCGAAGCAACAAAAGTAGTTGAGGTTAGCCCAACAGGAGAAAAATAGTTTCTCTGTAGAATTTCGACCGTAGTTCTTGTAGAAACTTTTTTGAATGTTTTGTTTTTTGGAAAATCCCTCCATGTATATATATTTGTTTTATGATATGACTGACTCTTTCTGTTGACATTTTGGTACTCTATTTGATTCCATTTTGAGATTTTATCATTGTATATTGTTATTCTTTCTATATTTTGTACTTATATTGAAGCTTTTATGTTTGCTTCTGAACTGTACACATGATGTTTAAATTTGATATTTAATATGGCTACAGCCATATTTGGATTTGATACCTTGGCAGTTAATACTAGTATCACCTATTCTTTTGGATTTGGATACCCATCAGGGTAATTTTCGACTTGAAAGGTGTATTAATTTTCAGATAAATGTTTGTATTTCCATTTAAATATAATAATAGACCACTTTCTCCTAGAATTATTGTGTTCTGATATTGGACTAGGGGAGGGGGGGCGTTCGACCTACACCTACTGGAATCAAAGTGAACGGCTACGGTTGCAAATTCATCTACAGTCTGACAATTAAGAAGAACAAGAAAACATTTGGGATTTTAATCGTTTGCAATATTAAACTTCCTGGAAGAAGAACTTTGGATTATTTATCTTTAACCTTGATCTAACTGTATTTTGGAAAACGATTTTCTGATCTTTTTGGATTTTTATTGACGAAGATTTATCGGTGGAAACTTTGTATTTCGTACTTGTTATTTATGAGCTCTCGAAAGAAAACAAACACGAAGAGGGTAGAAGCGCATGAAGAATCCCAAAATGCGAGGCAAGTCGTTTACGACACTTAACCTTCGAGATAAAGTATCTACGGTCAAACTTGAGAAGTATAGATCCCAAACTCGTGAAAACTTCTTCCTCTCTAAGTATGCACTTATATGGAATAGGCTTCCCTCAAAAATACGCATGGCAAGTGGGTTACATGAGTTTGTTTAACTTCTTAATGATGCTCTCAGTTGCACTGACTCTTCTGCGCTCGTGAACTCACTCGCACCCTGCTTTCATATTAATAGCTCTGCATACACTTTAAACACAACGAACTCAGTGCTGCGTCTTATTTAGTTATTTTTACACTCCCAAGTAGCACTAAATTTTTCTAGTTGAATATAAATCCCTTTAGTTTTTATTTGAACTAGACAGGTTACTCTATTCACTGGGTCGATCGACATTCTTCAACTGTAAACTGGTTCATTAGAATGCACTCTACTCTTCTGGGCGCAACCTAATCAACACTTACAACTGTGTGAGTTCCACATTGGCAATTATCAATAATACTGTTCTCACTTACACGCTATTGACTTATCTTGGCCACTTAGTGTTATCTATTGCTCAACTTTTAACCTTCTTAGCCTTTACAGTACCACCATCACTTATCCTAGAATTAACTCTAGGTCCAGTTATATAATTTACCCTAACTGAAGGGTTCCGAAAATAAGCTTTATTCCGTTCAGACAATCCTGCCTGGGCCTTACTCATATTTGCTGAACTCATTAACCTCTGATTACTCGAATCCAAATAACCGTTCCAGGCTTTTCGAGCAGCTAAGAGGCTTTTATCATCACACACTTCGGATCCATCTTGATGCCTACACTTTTCACCTTTTTCTTTCTTTTCTATACTTAGAAAAGCCATCTTATCTGTTACACCAACCGGCTTCTTACTAGGATACGCATCAAGAGGTTTTACATCGTTACGGTCACATACTCGTCCTTCATCAGCGTATGCTTTCGTGATATAATTGACAACTCTCTTATCTTCCGGGCGTACGTTAGGTAGAAACGAAGAATCCTCATGTCTCGCACGCAGACCACTAGTAGCTTCCGTATTATTTCCTGTTTTAACCTGATAAGCTAATCTTCCGAACCTACTACCAGCTATCTTAGCGCGAGACATAATGAATTCCGTCAACTCATTGAAATTAGGCTCTCTCTCCTCTTCGTCCCACTTGATTACTAGCTCTGCCCACTGGGCTTGCATTCGACGAGGTAAGAGCCTGACTATTCGTTCTAAAGTAACCATGGAATTAAGTTCCGTTGTGCAATTTAGCTGTTCTAAGGTTAAAGCAGCATTCTGCATTTTAATAGCCAAATTCGCCAATAATTCAGGATCATTAAAATCTGCGTTCCCGGTTCTAAATAAGTCCTCTAAGGTT